ATGGAGCTTTGAGCAACCTGATCTAGTGGAACGTATCCCTGCCCATAGCAGGGGGGTTGGAACTAGATGATTGAACTAGGTCCCTTCCAAATCAAACCATTCTATGATTCTGTGATTCTATGAAATGTTAAATACAACATAACTAAAGGAAAAAGTCACTGTAATTTAAAATCTCTACAGAAGTTTCTTAATATACATATTGGTGTATCGTGTTTCTATTGTGCTTCTATTTGTGATTTTATTCTTACATGGAAAACTCTGCATCGCTCACTTTTGGATTTATTAGTGGGACAAATTATGTTCCCTCCCCTTCTCATGCTAAGATAAACACATTGTCCTGTACTTTCTCTGTAACCCTGACATGGCGATACTTGAGAATATTCTTAAACATACACAGTTGAACATGTCTATTGATGAATATTTGTTTTGTCAGATCAGGTCCTAAAAGCCCATGAATCCATAGATAATGTTAGATGGACTTAGGCAGATAGTTGACAAAACCCCACAAAGTTGGATTTCCACTGCATAATCAAGACCTGCTCCATTACACATAGCATCCAATATTAGCTACTATTTACTTCAAGCACAGTGTCAAGATACTCAGTACCTTGGAAAATGAGGACAGGTATTTAATAAGGGAAATTAGATTTTATCTAATTAACATGAATTAAATCTTGGCCGACAAAGATAAAATTTATTAGAGTGTTGTAAACAGTGAAGCTGGTAAGAAAAGCAGTAGACTAAGATACCTCCCTATATTTCTCCAACTTTAGAGTGATTTATAAATATCACCTGAGTAACCAAATGATATGCTTGACAATGGACTAAGGTAGATTCCACTTCCAAACATTGCACCGTGGAGCTGAAAAAGAGTGATTGTTTAACATTAATTTTGTTATCTGGACAAAATAATAATGATAGGCACAGGGCCTAATGTAGATAAGCATCTGCCCCACTGCACTAATTTATTGTCTGGTAATAAATGGTGTTCAAAGAAGTCTAAAAAAATCATGCTGTGAATATACAACTAAGATACTGTATATTCTGGAAACCATGTCCAAATGCCCAAAGATAATTTTACATCAGATTTATATATAAAATTGCATTTTCTGCTTTTAAATCTAACATTATCATGGAGGATGCCTACAGAGGGTGCTTCTATAGATGGCCAAATACACCTTAGCCTTAACAAGGCTGAGCAAGCTCAGCATGTGTCTCACAGCAAAACCTTAAGCAGGAACCAAAGCCTAAGCCAGCCTTTGTGAATCATCATCAGCAACAGCTGCTTTTCTTTTCCTTAAGGTAAGAAATGAAGAGATGCTGATAACACTGCTCATATGCTATAGAAAAATTCAGTCAGTAGTTCAGTCTGAGTACTGGAGGAATGGGTTCAATCAAGCTTTTGCCTGAGACAATTCAGACATGCATATCCCATCACTGCAGGACTGTGCTTTAGCCACAAATCTACCAGCTGTCTGAAGAGAGGAAAGGGAAGACTCTTCTTCACCAGCATCACTGCTCCATGTCATGGAACTTGGGCTAAGCAACAAAACTGAGCACTTTTTATTAGTGCTGTGGTCATTTTCTTGTCTGGAAAGGGGGAAGTATGGGTTTCACTTTTCCAGGGACTGACTGCTTTATGTGGAAAAGTCTTTAAAGAAAACACACAAAGTAGTTGTTGGAGCACAAACGAGAACCCAGAGTATCTCCTACCCAGGTAGATATTATGACCACTGGGCTTCAGAGTCATGCTCACCCTTATTTCTTTCCTCTGACCCAATGAAATTTACATCATCTCTGCAATGTGCAAGAGCTCCCACAGGAATGTGCAATCATGCTCTCACTCCTCCAGATCCTACAATGTTGTATAGGATCCTTGGTGAGTAAGTATTTTTTCCTGACTGGGGTAAGCAGAATGAACTGGGCTCAGGATATGCCCTATTTGTGCGAGAGAGTGAAAAATGATGACTTGTATAAAACAGGGCTTTACTGCTTCCTCCTCTTCCCAGTATCTCAACCCTGAACAAAAAAATAAGCGTGAACAAAGGGTTTTACTTTAGTGAATTTTGGCGTGTAAATCCTGCTTTCTTGGGAAAGTATCTTACAAAGATGCTAATAAAACCACCCAAACCACTAAGAGGAACAGCAGAGATTTCCATTCCCTTTTTTCAGTGTTTCCTGTTCCCCGATCCTTAGTCAGCACCCCAGGATCCTCCTCCAAGGTATCATGGACTCAGCTCCAGGGCAAGAGCTGTCAAAACCCTGATGCTAAAATACTCTGAATTACAGTTCCCCAGTCCCTCTGATACTGCCTACTTTGCTCTGCAATAGTGGTCTCCTGATGATTCAGTCTGAGAAACCGAACTGAAGTTTGCAATAGCTCCCTCCTGGCCAGTACACTCATATTCCCTTCCTAAGGAAACCAGAGGAGAAGAGAAGATGCTGTAAACCCAGCTTCTGTAAACCTAGTATGCTCTTGGATCCTATAACATAGACATAGTTTATGTAGCTCTAAATTTTAAACCCCGAGACTGCTTTTAAGCAGTACTGAGCTAAGCCTCCTGGAGGTGCTGCTGTGCAATGTAAAACCGAAACACTGACTACTGATGGAATTTTTTAGCCATTTTAGAAGACACATTATTTCATTTTAATTGCTTCAGAAAAGTACCTTTTCCAGGAAACATGAGGGTATTTGAAATCACCCTTTTTGCTACCTATATGACTACCAGAACCACATCCCTTGAAAACTAGCCTAAGCTTAATATGTAATCAAACATGCACGTTAGCTAAAGTCTATTTAGTCTACTATTTACCTGCAGCCTCGTATTGGAAGCAATAACTAAGCCGTTCCTCAGAATGGAATGCCAGTTTTCAATGTGTGAACCACTGAAAAAGTGAAAGAGAATGCATTAAAATCCACAGTGTAAAATGCAAAATTAAATCAGCAATCCTTTAAAAGAATAAATTCCCAGCTGTAAACCTGAAATGGCAAGGACAAAAAAAATAGCATGGCATTTTGGTAACCTTTGATTAATATGAATGTATGTACTCACTGAAACGCAAAGGTACTTCCGTAGAGATTTTTAGCAGCTCGGAAATTGTATTCTTTGGCTGGTGGACTGCTGAGAAGTAGGAACTGGTGGGGAGTGTGCATAAACTTCAGTTGCTGTAAAATATATCAGTGTACAAGTGAAAAGAAGTTGATTAACAAAAAAGAATTGTATTTCCATAATGGTAGTTCTTAAGATACCATGCTGTTTCACACAATATATGACTGCATCTAAATAACTATATGAACCATAGTTTTTACCTGAAAGCAAACAGTAAAAATGTCCTTCAGTTTATATGGAAGTTTCTGAAGCATATTTCAGCCTAATATGGCTCTAGTAAAGTAATTACATTGATTAAGTAATTACATTTGATTAAGTAATTACATTTCATCATGGTATTCTTATCAGAGCTGGCTTTGAATTAAGGTTCAGATTTGAAAGGCTGCAGATTACTATGCCCTTAATCAGAGGATCAGAGGCACACATACTCAGAAATTAATCCCAGCACCATCCCTCTAAAATTCTAGAGCTATATTCTTTTTACAGTGTACTCATATGTGGATCTCCTGGTACATCATATTTGTGTGCACTGCTTTTTGTGCAGTTCTGTACCTAATATTCTATATGGTAACAAAACAAATAGTGATGTTCTCACCTAATCTCAGATGACTACAAGGTAGAGCTACTCACCTCAGATAGGCTTTTTCTGAGCATTATTCCTTTGACCTATTTTAGATATTCACAACATGATTCTATGAGTCATGACCTGAAATGGCCTATTTCTCTCCCCTGTCTATTAATGGAGCCCATGTGATTAATTTGAATGTAGACACATATGGACAGGAGGCTCTCACCTAAAATACTAATATGAGCCATGAGAAATGAGAAAATAATAAAGAACCCACAGACACTTACCCTATTCACTGGTAGCTTCACAATATGTGATCTATTACTAGAAATAACCCTAAAATAAGAAACAGTTAGATGTATTAGACATGACAACCAAACAGAACTTTTCTTCTTAAGCATATGTTATGAATGGCCACCACAAAGCACCCAGCTGCAGGCCTTTGAACCTATCAGATGGAAGTGGACCAAATCTTGACTAAAAATCAGATCTGAGGCCATACAAATAAGCTGGAGTCTTTCCAGTGCTTTCAGAGGGCCCAGATGAGGTCCAGAAACAAATGCAGTTGCAAATGTCAACCCTGACATTCTTAGGGTGAGTTTATACCAAATTAAACTGGTGAAGTGATCATTCATTCAACTTGGTACTTTAATAATTATCATCTCATGTGAGCCAGTTTTATACCACTGTAGAAGAGGATGTGCAAGCGGGTCTTGTTTATCCATCTGCTTCTTTATTTCCAAGTAAGGTGCCTAGAAAAGAGTAATTATGTTCTTTATTTCCAGCTGAAATCATAAGGTTAAATTTTATATGTTACATTGCCCATAATTTCATCTATTAAAATGAATACATGGGACTCAGTATTAGGCTTAAACCACAGTTTTACTAACATTTAGCGTTGTACAGTTATAAACGTGTTTTGACAACAACAAGAATTAATATAGCAATTATTTTATCTGCAGTAAAATAATAAGCATATAATTAGCATCAAAATTAGTATATTATAGCAAACATTGGTGAACTCAAGGAGAACAGCAGAAGACGTCTATTTATGTTTGGCTCTTGGAATAAGAAGTTGGACTGGAACTTCACAAAATTAAGTCTCTCAAAATACCCCAAGATAATCCACTCCAATTTGTTAACTGTTTTATGGTATAAACTGGTAAAGTAAAATACTGTATCAGCTTATAATCCCTTTGAAAACCTTTCTTGATTTCAATCACAGTGAAAAGCATCCCTTTAAAACTCTTCAGTTGAAGAATTATTTTAACATTAAAAAAAAGCAAACTGGTAGTTATTTTTCTTTTTAAAAGACATTATATTAGGTAACAGAAATACCCGATTTTTTAAATTTTTACAAGATGTTACATTAAGTTACAAAAACATCTGAATTTTAATTTTCAGTGTATTTTACTGCTCTCTATATACCTCATTCTTCATTCCAGAATCCCAAAGTACTTTACGAATACATATAGAATAAGATTTATAAACTCTTGTGAGGTTACACTTATATAACAGTTGGAAAAGCAAGGTACATGGGAGAGGTTTCAATAATCACTTATAATCAGCTGGGCTGTTTGGGAAAGGAAGTGTAACAATAAACATAAGTACGGCTATCAGATTCTGTCCCACTGTGAATATTGAGAAATCATATGGTAGTAATCCCAAGAGACCCAACCTTATAAGTCCCCAATCATACTTAGCTGATCAAGTGTTTTGTTATAATAGAAATAAAGCTATCATTCAGAACACCGTCACAAATTCAATTTCTTTTGCTTTGGAAATAAAAGACCCAGTTTGACGTTGGTATTTCCAGAAATGCAGCAGTTGCTAATCATCTCGTTACAATGTCCCATTTTGCTGTTATTATCTCTTATTTAAACTTCAAAAGATCTGAGTTCTACTTCACCACTTTTATTGGACTGCCATTATGGATACTCTAGGTTTGTTATTTTTAACACACATTTTAATATTATTACAGCTCTATAGGAAAGAGATGATACTATTGTCTTCCCCACTCATCATAGGCAAGCAATAAAAACATCTTCCTAGTTCTAGAAATGGTGATTAAGTTATGTAAAGATTTTTAAACTCACCTGCGTCATCTCTCTAATAGAAGTGATACTATCCAATGCTTTCATGACTCGGTCATAATTCTTCTTCTGATGTAGCATAAAATAAGCAAATAATTTAAAAGAATATTGGTCTTTGGCTCTACAAAAACCTGAATTCTTTGAGTGTGTATAAAACCAAAGTTAGGACGAATGTTCAGCAAACCGATCCTTTCAAACATTTCTAACCAATAGCTTCCTTCTACCTTACACAGAGACTCTCATTCATAGTCCAGGAAAATTCCCTGAAAAAATATTATCATAATGGCTTTTCTTTGAATTTCACTGGAATCCAAACACACAACAATGTGACTCATGTAAAAAATTAGGTCACTTTTAAAACAAATATTTGTAACTAAACACAGGCTCTGCCAGTTATTTGGACAATATGCTACTAAGTTAAATAATGCAGTGAACAAATAGATTTTAAATAAAATGCTAAATAAGCAGATGTGTTTACTTTGCTAACATCTCTATAAAACTTCAGAGGTCCTTCAGTTGTCCCTCTGCCTCACCTTGACCCTTGTCTACCTTCTGACTGGGAACCACTACCAGATGGCTCCACATTTTCTGAGCGGATGAGCTTAACAGTCCATGTTTCACCAGCTCCACGTGCCACGTCACCTTAAGGAGCCCCATTGTTCCTCATCTTTGGGTCTTGCCAACTTCTGCCCATGGGCTTTCACCTTGCCCATGCTGTCAAGAAGCTGGGAGGAGGTAGTATGGGCCCTGCCAGCCTAGGGGCTCTCTCCACTCTTCTGGTGTGACCCCTTTTCACATTGCCTCATCTGCTTCAAACCCACAACCTGCCTAGCTGCCAGACTAGCTGTCTCCTCATCAGCCCCTTTCCAAGAACCTCCCGGCAAGTCTTCCTTCCCACATGATACAGAACACACTTGCCCCTTCCTCTGAGAAAGACCACCACTAACTGGCCTTTGTTCAGAAAAAGTGAAATGCATCACAATGCAGGACATCCAAAGTTCTCATTTACGCCCTTGAGGATGGCTCAAGTGAGCTGTAATAGTTCACAGCTTCCCTAGGGCTTCCCTGAGAGGCAGCATTTGCAGCCTGAGGAGCAAGTAGTGCAAACACAATTCTTTACTTCAAAATTTGATGCTTGTACAAAACTTGACTGTTATGTCCAACATTTGATAAAATGGAGTTTAAGGACATAATTGTTTGCAAAGAGAAAATGAGATGACAGCAATAACCACTTTAAGAATAAAAAGATGGACTGGAAATCCCCTAGTCTACGTGGTCTACACCTCCCAAAGGCCATCTTTCTCTTTGTGTCCAATGTGTACACTGACAGAAAGACACTAAGAATATAAAATTTTGCACCTAGAATTTGTACCCTAAAAGAAGTTCTTGGCTTCAACATAACTTTGAATGCAACTTACAGTTTATTCACAAATACCTTCTCAGAGACAATTAAAAAACCTACAAAGTTCTGAAAATAGTCACATGCTTGTGCTATATTCTGGAGCTGTATCTCCTACAGTAAAGGAGACTCCTCCAGAAGAAGGCTTTGCTTTGAAATCTAATGCATGACTGAAACCAAGCTATGACATAATGAAAGATAACTACTTACCCTGGGGTTAAAGGCCAGCATCTGAGGATCATTAGGATCAACTACAGAAGGATATGGCTCAAAAATGACAACTTTCCTAGGTGACTCTAACGCAGACCGACACATGGATACTAACAGATCAACCACCTAGGGATAAAGAAAAAATATTTATTTAATATATGTAGTTTCATATTGTATCATCCAGTCTGCTTTTTTTACACATTACAGTAATACCATATTTCACTGTTATCTCTATTACCCAAATTGTGTTATCCACAGGACATAGTTTAGGACTGAAATTTTTCCACTGACCTCAACAGGCTTTGGGTCCAGCCCTGGTATATTATTCCAGGTGCATAAGTAGGACCAGCATCTGGTCCTAAATGTATTATCACATCAAATACATTGCTTGCAGTCCTGCTTTCTCTTGTGTACATGTGCTAATTCCTGTATGAAATTAATTCTCTAGGGAAATTAAGTTGTGCTGAATCTATGTATCTTTGTGCAGTAGATGCCAGTGAAAAATGTTGCTCAAGAAAGAGAAAGGGATTATGAATCTGCACCACTGCCCGCTGTTCTCCTGAAGATTGTGCTCATGGAAACACTAGCAAACATTGCTTCTGCTAAAGTCAGACCAGTGCAGTAATTTAACAGTCATTTTCATGGCTCACACTGAGAGATTCTCTTCCTTCCTGTTGTACAGAATTGTACAAATGGCTTTGAATATCTATGATTTCCAAGATTTCACTGTATGCATCATCATGCATGCAATGTGTATGCAGGCATGTATTCACATATGTGCACATAGGCACATATACAACTTTGCAACAGATTTCTGTATAATGGTTTCAAAATTTGTAACTCAGAGGTTAAAAATAGACTACAGCAATCACAAAACAGAGAGGACGCAGCTTTCTGGCAACTGTGAAACCTAAATGCAGCTCATAATGAAATACAAAGTTGCTACATAAAAACATAGCTGCAAATTAGCTCATTTCCCCTCGGTTTATCTGTGCCTCCTGAAAACATTCTTGTGTGAAAACAGACTTTTCCATGAAAAAAAGAAAAAGCTGAGATGAGCTGTACTTAGTAGGCATCCCTGGTTCCTCCCACAGTTCCACATGGATCAGATCTCATCTCACACCTCAAGCTGTTCTAGAAGTTATTGTATATCTGCCATTGTATCTGATTATTTGGAGTAAAAAAAAATGATGGTCCTTTAGAGAAGAAGAATGAAAATAAGAAACATGATGAAAGGGAAAAGGAACTGCGCTGCAGTGAGTCGTACTGTTGCCATTCTCCTCTGCTCCTTTAGCATGAATGGACAATTTTCTCCATCATTTTAAAAATATTCTGTTAGCTCCAGTTACTAAATATCACACATATATTGAAAAACTAAGTTTTTAAAATAATGATTCCTTCCTCCATGGTGCTCTGATTTCTTTCCAGTTTATAATACCTACAAGTGTTATGAATGTTTCAAAATAGGGCATCTGCATTAGCATTTGCAAAAGAGACCAGGAGTCTACATACACAGCCAGGTCAGGCAACAGACCTGCAACTGTGTAAATGTATTACCATGAAATTGAGCCCGAGTTCATACACCCTGCTTCTCAGAAGCACTTCTTAGCCTCCAGTTGCAAAACACTACTAGGGAAGAGTTGTTTGAGTCCCCAAACCTCTTAATACAATGACCCAAAGTTGTCTTGCTTTATGTTTTGCACAATGGGACTTTGTCTTAAAATTGGCACAGTTCTTCTTAGAACACCATCCCAAAGTCCTCCTTTAAAACAACTGTTGACTCCTGTATTGTTTCTTACCATGATACCAGCATATTGTTCTGACATGGGGGAACACATGCATAGATCAGGTTTAATTAAACCCCTGATTTCCCCTGAGATCATTGTTTTGAGCTGATGGAATGCAGAGCAACTTAAACTGGGAGGTAAGCCTAACACAAAAATTATAATACAAACTTGCATATGCATTCCTTGGTAATAGGAAGTACTGTGGATCTAGTAAATGTCCTTATAGCTGTGCCTGAACTTCTCCTTAACAGTAGGTACTGAAGTACATAAGTTAGGATTTAAATATTTTCGAGGAGGACAAGATAACACTTGCTGATGACAATTCTCTCTTACGACATCAGTATCTCAGACAGTGCCTCTCTCTCTCCAGACACTCTCTACAAGGGAGTCTGAACTATCAACAAATCAGACATTTAATTTTCATGCATTTTGACTACGTGACTAAAATAGGGCAAGGTGAGTTCAGGCTTGAAAGTTTTAGAAAGTACAATCTCTTATTATTAAGGAGGAGCCATCAGAATATTGTGAGTGACAAAGTAGGGTTGTATACCTTAGGAAACTAGCTGAAAGCACAGCAGAAAGAACAGGATGTGATTTTTAATAATGAGAACCTATATTTAGGCTCTTTCACTACACAAAATTATTTGGAGGAAGATTCATCTGATGAAATGTAGAGATTCACGATGCAAACACCTACCTCTTACTAGTCAGCCTAGGCTCTCCTTATAACTGATGGAGAAAATAAAAACTGTGATGATAGTCTATGCTGTGATTCACACCACCCTAAGCTAATGTCAAAAATAGCTCAGATGAATCAAACCCTAAAAGTGTTAAATTTTTTCTGCAAACAGGAACGGGAGCTTGATCAGATCAGATGTAGAGAGCTGGGTGCAATGCTATCACTAGAGTGAGAGTTAGCAAAATTTAATCATCTAGGTCCAATGGGACAATTGACAAAACCTCTTATCTAACTCTTTTAAGTACCATTAAGGTTGTAATCACTTCAGTTTTTTTCAGCAAAGCTCTGTAGATGTAGAGGCACTCAAGATCTAGAGCAAGCTCCACATATGCCTACAACAGTGATACCTACATAAAACACAGAGTGAGTGCTAATCAGGACCACCTCTCTTGTCAGCTGTATTTAAAAAAAGTGAGAGCTACTTGTTTGTACCTAAATACCATGTAAGTGCCTACATTCAAAAAATAAAACTGTAGCTCCGCAGAAACACATAGCTGAAGTCTTCAGAGGACTTCAAGCTGGGGAAGAGGTGGGGCTTCATCAGCACACCTCTCTGGATTTCTTACAAGCTTGCACAGGTATCCCGATGTTTGGCATGCTAGATGTTGCAAATATAACCATCTAACTGTCTTCAGACATCAGATGAGCTGATGGTCATATCCCACTTATATACTCAAGCAAAGAAGCTGGTGTACACTGCTGCAAGTTTCCTTCTTTGAGGATATGCCCATAGGTGGTATTCAGGCACTTAGCTGAATAGTTTGTTTCCAGTGGCTAGACTCACTAGTGCTAGTTAAAGTTAACTGAACTGAACATTTGCTCTTCCAAAAACCATGTTGCTTACCATGTAAGTGCACAGTGAGTGACACATGTTTAGGAAATCAGAGAGGAATGCACTTTTCCATAAGATGTGTAAATTTTTAACTTAAGATCTTAAAAAGATCTTAAAAAGATCTTAAACATAAGATCTTTTAATTTTTTTAATTTACTGAAGTCCTGTAACTATTGTAACCTAAGGTTAAATGTGATTTGGAAACATAAGTTTAAAATACTTTGTTTTAAGGCACATACAAAATTATGAAAGAAAACAATGATATGGTTATAACTACATTAATAACTGAATTTAGAGTCAGGAAGCAAGCTTACATTACATTCCTGATCCTTGAGAAAAGAGAAAAAAACCTATGTAGCAACATGAGTAAGGACTTTCCCACTGTTGTTTAATGATCAAAACAACAGATGCTCAGTGGATAGCTGCATCCTAACACCATGAACAGGAAGTAGCTTATTAATTGCATGAGAGTAGTAATGGCTCATTAGGTGAAAATAAATGGGAATTATCTCCAAATGACAATGGCTGCCTTTATTAACAACCCAGGTGACCTAATTGAATACAACAGAACAAGAAAACAGGGTTACTCTACATGGAAGCAAAACAATGGAAACACCTCATTAGTACTGTTTGAAAATGCCATGCATAAAACGGTGTATTTACAGCTATAAGAGTGGACAAATAAATAATACTTACCAAAGAGTACTCATAGGAAATACAAGTCAAAATAAATACAAGAAGAGATTGAGAAGACTGAGTATACTATGGAAAATCAGACACATAATAAGCATTAGATAATTCTACCTGAGCTCCAGTTGCAATTTCATCAGCAGCTTCATTCATTACTCCCAATGTTTGGAAAGCAAATACACAGAGCTCCCGTTCACAAACAGTGGGCTACACAGAGAAAGTAAGTTAATTATATTTTTGTTCTAGTTTTTGGTTATTGGTTTTATCATGCAATACCCACAAAAAAAACCCCAAACATATTTATATACTATTTTTTCTTCAGATATTTACTGCAACATTAATTTCAAATTATGAAGACATGTCAGTTATTGAGGAAGATACATTAGAGAAGCGTTTTAATAACCTGAAGAACAAATGTTAAGAACTTTAAAACTCATAAGTATTCACAGAGGCTAAACCTAAAAAAGAAATACAAACAGATTACAAAATCAAAATTACATAGTACTCAAATGCCCTTAACACTGTCCTATCAGACTTTGAAAACTTCCTACATAATTAAAATTAATGGAGAACAAATCCAGAAACTAATGGGGGCACCCCTCTTTCATAAATGCAGGTTTATTCTTCAAAGATTGTTATTCTGCTGTTGAGAACACACATAAAAGTATGACCCAGAAGACAAATTTCTTGAAGAACCTACTTTTAATTTAATTTTTAACTAATTGTATTGGGTTTGTGTGGCAAGGTTTTG